CTCAGTTTTCATATTAGCAAATTGGGTATTATTACTACCTTCAAGAGGGATTGAGAGTATTAAATAAGACATTATATATCAAGTGCCTAGTACAGAGCCTGGCATATTGGGGATGCTCAGCAAATGTAATTTCCATTCTCTTTCTAAAGTAGCTTTCATGAAGACAAATCCTTGCTGGCCCAGGATAATAATTCAGAAGTTTGTCTGGAGTTGCTAGAGCAAATTATCAAGGAAGCACAGCAACTCTCATTGGAGTGGCAAGAAAGCAACCAGAGCCCAAAGGCAAGATGAGGCAAGACGATAGAAGAGATCTCAGGGACTAAGGCAACATAGTGAAGTATGTAACAGCAAGGACTGTGCTCAAGATATATATTTGGCTCCTGACTCCAACTCCTACTAGCTGTGACCTTCGGCAAGTTACCTAACCCCTCTGTGCCTCAGTTTCCCCATATATAAAATGGGGATGATAATGCTATCTACATCACAGTGTTGTTAGAAGGATCAAGTGGGTTAATGGAAGCAAAACCCTGAAAGAGGGCCTGGCATGATGAAGTGCTCTGTCAGTGCTGGCTGTCGTCCTTCAGCACACACAACTTCCATGTGCAGTGGTTACTGGACAGGCTTTGGAGGGGCCCACTTGGGCACTCTCACCCTTTTACTATGCACTAGCTATGTGACCTGGAGCAATTTATTGAACCTTTCTGAATCTAAGCTTCCTCATCTGTGAAAAGTGGAGGTGATAATAATAGCACCTCCCTCTGAGGGCTGTGGTTGGGACTAAAAGTGCTAATACGTGTGAAGTTAGTTTAGCAAAGTATCTGGCTCATATTAAGTACTCAGTAAATGTCAGCTATTCCCTGGCTCTCAGGAACCCTGAAGACAATATGGCCCCTATTTATTTAAAGACTTGAATCTCAAAGATTTTCTTTTCTTTCCTCAGTTTTTAGGGCATTTATTTCTGAATTTTATTAAGAAAGATAGAATTCTTTATCTCTCCCTTGAAGACGAGAAAAATATTTCTGTACCTTTTTGACCCTGTCCTCAAGTCCCTTCCTATACATATACAAGATAGAAAAGGACACTGGGGGCTGGGTGCCACCCCAGGCTCTAGACAGGCCTATACTCACCACAACATTCCTAACAGAGGGAGAGAAGGCATTTTCCCAAAGTGAGGGACCAAGATCATAGTGCTGCCACATCTCCCACCATCATTTTGTTAATTAGCTCAAGGCAGGGTTGTCTACCTTGCACCTTAACTTACTTTTGACATTTTAAAGGAAAACTTTAAAAGCAATCCTCTAAAGGGTAATGGAAGTACTGAGGCTTGGGGAAAGGCACTAATTTTTCCCAATTCTTCCCTGTTGTTTTGCTGAAGACACATTGTAAATTGAGTTTAAAGAACAAGGGTCTGGTTATCTTACTGTGACTAAATGAGCTTTGCTACTGCCAGGGACAACAACTAGATGAATGTTCTTCAGGGTTGGTCTCTCTTTTTGTTTTCTTTTCCAATCCTCTTTCTCTCCTGGAGGAGAGGGAATGCCAAGTAGAACACAGGCTCAACAAAACCTCCAATGTAAGTAATGTTCTTAGGAGGAAAGACTCAATGTACTAGACAAAGAACTTCTAAATACTGACCCTTAACCCTTACAAAGGCAAAGATAACAAGAGAAGAAGGGGAGTGGGAAGGGGTTGGGAGTGGTGGTGGGAAATCATAAGGAGTAGTGGAAGAAAAGAAGACAGTGAAGACATCAGTAAACATTGAACAATAAGGAAGCAACCCTGGGCCCAGGAGTTGGACTGGCAAGATAGGTCATCACAAGCTGTACCCTCACTTTTCATGCTAAAGCCAAGGTAGCTGTGCCCAGGAGTGGACCTCCCTGTCCAAAACAAAGATCCAAATTCCCAGAATCACAGACTGTATGATTTGGAACAATCCTCAGAGCTCATCCATCCTGGCCAGTGCAGGCATCCCTCTACACTGTCCCTAAGTCTTTCTGCACAAATGCCTCCTGTGATGGTATTCCTTTGTTGCACCACTCTGAACATTCCAAAGTCCTTCCTAACACTGCGCTGAGATAAATCTGCCTCCCCATGGCTCCAAGCAGTTCTATTCTCTCCCACTCTGGGTTCAAATGATGTTTCTTCATGGCCTGCTGAGCAACAGAGGCACATGTGAGGTCTTCCACATATGGGCTCTGGAGTGGGACCACTTTAGCTCTTACCCAGGTTCAGCAACCGACATATTTGCTCTGTGACCACCGGCAAATTACTTATCTTTCTGTGCCTCAGTTTCTCATCTATAGAATGGAGATATTAATAATACTGGCCACTTCAGTACTATTACTGTGAGAATTAAATGAGATAATCTGTGTAGAATTACATACACCGGCAAATTACTTATCTTTCTGTGCCTCAGTTTCTCATCTATAGAATGGAGATATTAATAGTACTGGCCACTTCAGTACTATTACTGTGAGAATTAAATGAGATAATCTGTGTAGAATTACATACGGCATGAAAAAGTCATACATTAAGTGCTCAGTAAACCTCAGCTACTGAAATTATGCAATAAAGTATGGGTTCCTCCAAGGCAAAGACTGTGTCTTATTTATCTCTGTAACTTTTTTGCCTCGCACAGGGTCTGGCTGAATATTTTGTACAAAATAAATGTTTACTAGATGACTAAATAATTAATTGGCAGTAGTTCCATTCTGGCATAAATTCCTACACATGCTCTTGTCTATGACATCTTTCTTATAAAAACCTACCACCCACCTCCTCCCCTGACTCCAATTTAGCCACTATTTGTTACTACTCAATCTAGAAATACCTAACTTCCCTTCCCAAGATGGGATAGAGAGCCTTATAACAAGGTTACAAGAGCCACATTCGAGGGCATCAAGTCCAACCCTGTGGAGGAAGTTGCTGTGACGCATCCTGCACTGTTTTCCTGTAGCCAGTTATAAAGTGTGATTGATGTGTTATATGGCTTATATGGTGAGGACATGTGGCCCTGGGGACTACAACTCCAGAGGTCTGCAGAGACTTAAGCAAAGAAGAGTAAGAAAGCTCTTTTGGAGAAACTAGATCAAAGAGCAGGATGACATGGGATGGGATAGGGGAGGGATGGGGTGGGGATAGGCAAAGCTGGGGAAGAGGAGTATCTGGGAGCTAGCCTGGGCTCTGCATCTAGCTGGGGGGAGATAGAGGCTCCACAGAAGTCAGCAGTAAGCTGAGAGCACCACTGGTCTAGGGTAAAATCTCCCGCCCCCAAACAGGAATGTCTCTGCCAAAGGAATGAAGAAAGGCACCAAGAGAAAACTGGAGTCAGAAGCAAAATGCTCTACCAAGAAAATTAATATCAAGGACTTCTTGTTAAAAGTTCAGAGCACTTTCTCACCCATCAACTCATGCCCGTCCCAGTCTTTCCCAAAGTCAATAGCTCATGCCTGGTCAGTACTGAGCCCAGGACTCCACCCGGGTGCTCCAGGTTCCTTAGGTCCACTCAAACATTTGAAGGGTTATCAACGACAGACCAAGCTGTTTAAGATATACAAATGGAGGTAGAAAAGGTGGGGAAATTTTGACTTAAAAAAATTTTTTTTCTTGAAAATCAATACTGCATTCCCCACGGTGGGGGGTGGGGGGCAACCCCAGGGTTGGCTACCCTAGAACCCCGTTTGCTAGGAACTCTCTCCTTACACATCTTTCCTCCCCACCGCTGGCACACGGGGTGAATGGCAGGGCACACCAACAGAATGAGAACAGAGCTTCCCCACAAGCCCCCAGCATCCTGGGAGAGAGGATAGAGAGCCGCCCCACGGCCTTCACAGGAGCGGGTAGAGGGGGCGGAAGGGGGAGAGGATTGCTTGTTTATTTGTTTCCTGGAACACCCTGTTAAGAATCTCAGCAATTGCAGTTAATGCCCTATCGTTTGGCAAGCAGAGCTGCTTCTCCTCGTTCCCAGCTGCACGGGATCTAATTCGCGAATACACCATCTTGCATTCAACACTTAAATGGAAAACAAGCAGCCCTGGGAGGGAGGCAAGCGGTCTAACTCTGCATGCCGGTTTCGGAGGGATTTATCTTTCTAGGTCGGTTGACTGGCTGATGCCGTTCCCGTCGTAGGCTTCTTTGAGCCCAGACCCTTTCATCTTGACTCCAGAACCCACCGTGGGGTCAAATGAACATCAGGAGAAAACGGGATTTGGTGGGGCCTTAGGCCTTGTCAGTATAAAATAGTAACTAAAATCTGTTTGAGAGCTCAGATTTTAAAGGGAGATTCTGCTATTCTTCCCACTGGAAACCTGGTTAAAAGAAATTAAGGCCTCTCTTAAAGGTAACTAAGATTAGAGGGCTCGGTTTCCGTTTTCTGTGTTTCTGTGGGCCGAACGCCCAGGTCGGTCAGCGAGTTTCTCTCTGTGTGGATGACGAATTCCTCTCGCCTGGATTCTAAAATGATAACTTTGCTTGGTGCTGCAGCTGCGAACGTCTAGCGCCAAGCGATCCAAATCTGGCCTTGGAGTTGCTGGAGGGAGAAGTGGGGGTGAGTGGGGAAAGGGGAAGAGCCTGTCTCCGTGAAAAGTCTGGTGAGCGGCGAGAAGGGAAGTAACGGCGGTTCCTCCAAGCTTCGGCCCCTTTAAGTGCTTCACTGACTCAGCTAAGCTTCCCCCTCAGGTCGCGTTTTTTATGAATGAAAAACGTTCTTACATTCATTATATAAACAAGCCTGTGCTGATTGGCCAATGGCCCCCGGTGCATGAATTATGTAAAACAGACCCCTGAGGGGGTGGAGAGAGACGTACCGTTGGCCAATGAAGGCCGTAGTCGATGGGGCGGCTCGGCTGGATTTGCCCACAGACAGGGTAAACAAGAGGTGATGGACAGCCGCGGGAACGGCCGCAGGCCAATGGGAGCGAGGCTGGGCTAGGGCCGCGGGCCAATGGAGACGGGCGGAGCAGTGGGCCGCGCGGGGCCGGGCCAGCGCTCCAGCCTGGTTGGCAGCTGCGGCGCAGAGTCCAGCCGCTGGTGCGCGGAGCGGTTCACCGTCCCCGAAGCGGATCGGCCCAGCCAATTCTCCTAGGCGCCCAGGCCCGGTGCGCGCGTGCGTGAGCGCGCTTGCGCCGCCGGGGCTGCTGCAAAGGGAGGAGAGCGGCCGCCTCAGGTGAGGGGGCGTTGCAGGGGGACATCGGAGGGGGAGTCCAGAAACGGGTTCGAAAGGCCCCGCCGGCGAGAGTTCACGGGCTGGTTTAGAATCCTCAAAGTCAGGGTGCACTATCTGGCGTGAGCCCCCCGGGGCTGACCGCCCCCACCCCCCGCGGCCCGGCCCGGTCCGGTCCGGTTCCTGGGAGGCGTCGGGCGGGTGCGGCTAACGGTTCCGGAGCGCGCGGAGAGCGGGTTACCGCACGTCGCGGAGGAGGCGCGCGGGAGCGCGAGGTGCGGGGGCTCCCGGATAGAGATGGGAGAGTGCGGAGTTGCGGGTCTTTACAGTCTCTGGAGACCTGAGAGCCCCGAGGGGACCTGGAGGCTCGCGAGAAGAGACGCTTGGCGGAGCCTTGCAGTTGAGAGGAGGGGGCGGGAAGCAATTTGAGGGGGATTATTTGAGAGGTGCTGCCTCCTCCCCGAGCACCGGGAGGGGTTAAATGACATAGGCATGTGCAGCCTGCGGGGTTGGGGGGCGGCCAGGAACTTAAGCGGGCCTTGCAAGTTTCAGGTTGTGGAGAGTGGACACCCAGTTCCCCCACTGCCACCCCCAGCAGGCTGAGGGCGTCGGGCTGTGCGGCGACTCTCGAGAAAAATGGGGGAGTACCAGAACAGCTGCCTGGGGATGGTGGGGAAAAAGCGGGTGCGGAGGGGGGACAGAGAGATGCTGGAGCTTCGCGCTGGGTTAAGGGGTCTAGCCTCATTTTCAGAGGGCGGGAGGAACCTTTGGGGGAACCAAACTCTTGGTTGAGGAGGGGATGCCAAGGAGAGATGTTTCGGGTGGGGGTAAGGGTGGGGGTGGGGGTGGGTTGGAAGCGATTGGTAGCGCCCGGCGCTGCACCTTGTTTTTATGAATGTTGGTGACTTTATGAATGAAGCGGGTTTCTTTCGTTGGCTCACTGCTCCCTGCGGCTTTTTTTCCCCCTCTTTTTGTGAATGAAGCATTGAGCTTTCTTCCTAAAACGCTGGGGTGAGGGGCCTGCGTCGGAGGTTAGGCTTGCGTTGGGAGTGGGGGTGGGGGCGCAGCTGAAGGAGTTTTCATGAATGGGGAAGGCTGGGAATTGGGTGGAAGTGTGTCTTGTTTTGTGAATGGGGCCCAGCGCTAGGGATCCAGTTACAGCCTCTACCTGATGTGGCGGCCGCGGCTCGCTCTCCCATTCATAAAACCAGGCCCGCTGCGCGCCACGGGGGAGGGGCCTCGATCCGCCGCAGCGCGGTGTTAAAGTTTCGTGGGGACACCCGGGAGTCTGGAGGTTAGAGGGGAGGCCCAAAGGAAGTGGTTTAAACTCCTGGATGAACTCGAGCTTTCCCTTCAGGCTTTGAAAAAATGATACTTTGAACACAATTTTTCTGGCCCTTGAACTATGAGGGCCACTTTAGAGGTCCTCAGTGCCTTTTTTGGGTTCTTTTATGGCAGTTTCTTTACGTTGTTTAATTTTTTACGAGTTATGAGTACTTTTGCTCTTTAGGGTGAAGTATTTCATCATGATACTCTGAAAATATCTCCCCCTCCTGGTCTCCTGCTCGTTGTTTCCTTTCCCCCAACAAACATTTATAGAATTTCTAAGGCCACAGATTAATCTGACAGATTTTCAAAGGTGACAGAAAACTCTTTTTCATACCCCTCAACTCACTGCTGAGGAACCTCAACTCACTGCTGAGGTTGCTCAGATTTTGTATACGGCCAGTTACACTTGAGAGGCAGGCTTTATTCTAAACGATTTTGCGCTGTTTGGAAGTCAAGCAGACAGGCTGGCGGGAGTGTTTTTCTAGGAAGTTATGTACTGTGTGCTATTTTGCTCCTCTCTTTGCTTTGACTTTGAAAATATCTGATTACTTGGGCCAAAGTGCTGAGGAGGAGGCTGGCGGTGAAGAGTTTCCTTGTATCCTGCTCACTTATGAAAATTTGATATGCTCCACAGTGTGAAAAATAAATTGGATGAAACTGACCACTATTAAAAAAACCTTCCTATTTAAAATTTGTATACAATAGAAATTATACTATAAGCAACTGTGCTTTGCTTAGAGCTGGGGTAAGTGCAATTAATGTTTTCTCCCATTTTGTTGACTTAACTGCATTTTTATTTGGAGAATAAAACAAAGTATTCAAGAAGGTGATAACTTCCCAAAATTGTTTCTTTATTTCTCCCAAATTAGAAAAAGTTCTCTCCTTACCCTTTGATCCCCAACTTCTCTTCTCAGCCCTAACACTTATCAGTGCTGAAATGAGTTTAATTTTAATCTTTTTGATGTGTCTGGGAAAATTGACTTTACTGTAAGAAACAAACTGAATTTTCTTTCCATGGATCTTTTGCTTTTAATGCTTTTTTAAGATTTAGAGATGCATTTAAAATATATGCAGTGGAATTTACTTTTCATAGATATTTTATTCTTTTAGAAATTGGAGATATCACAGATATCTTTGTACATCGCTGTGGAGATATTTATGACATTACAAACACTACACCTGTTTGGACAGAAGGTTTAGGTTTTAAATAAAGAGTTGTGTGTAAAGATAAGTACACTTCTGATCACTTTATTCCTGATACTACATAAAGTGTTTTACCACTGATCTACAAAATACTTTTAGAAATACTGTGTATGTCAGATTCTTAACTGCCAGTAATTTGAAATACTTAAACCCTGTTTCTCTACTTCCTGTCACTGTACTATCAAACACGAAGTGATCTCTTTTTTAAAAACTCTACTGCAAATGCCCTGGAGGATCTTCTACATGAAAGAATCTTGAAATCATCCTTTTATAATTAACATAAGATTTGGGGGGTTTTATGTCTGTTTTTTTAGGGGACAGACAGTACCAAATCTATAATCTTTATAAAAGAAAAAGAAGAAGAAAAGAAAGGAAATGATGGCTGGGTAAATGGATTTGGCACTAAGTACACAGTGCACCTTTGATTAATCAAGCCTGGCATTGGTCCAGAAACCTTACACCTTGAGTGGACTTAAGTTCAGAGAAGGTAGTGATTTTGCACAGGTTCTAAAGAAAGAGCAGTATAAAACTGCTTCATTTCTCTTTTTTCCCTCTTCTCAGTTAAAATCTCCCAAATTCATTACAGGAGGATCCCTTTTCCCCCAGAAATTACTCAATGCTGAAACCTTTCAAAGTGATATTAGAGACGTTGGAATCACCATGGATGGATTTTATGATCAGCAAGTCCCTTTTATGGTCCCAGGGGTAAGTTTAAGTTTATGTGGCTTTTGGTTTGTTTTGTCCTCCCTCTTCAAGTATGAGTCTTCTCCTTATTGGTTAGTGGGTCAAGCCCCTTTGGACGTGTTTACTACATTTGAGTCTTCACTGTGTGTTGGCCTCTTACAGAAATCTCGATCAGAGGAATGTAGAGGGCGGCCTGTGATTGACAGAAAGAGGAAGTTTTTGGACACAGATCTGGCTCATGATTCTGAAGGTAGTGAAGCTTTCCCCTTCTATGTTGTGACTTCCTCAAATTGCCCCCATTGTCAGCAGCATGTAGATTCTTCCCCCTCTTCTCCCTAGCAGAGTATCCTCATTCTGGGGTCTTCTGTTTTCAATTCCAGAGTTGTTTCAGGATCTCAGTCAACTTCAAGAGGCTTGGTTAGCTGAAGGCAAGTTTCTTGGCTGTCCTGTTTTCCATATAAAACATTTTACTGTGCTTTTTAATAAAACGTCAAGGTCTAAAATGAAAATCTCTTTTCCAGCACAAGTTCCTGATGATGAACAATTTGTCCCAGATTTTCAGTCTGATAACTGTAAGTACCTTTCAGGGGGTGGCATATTTGTTCTGAAATTTTTTGGTCTTGGATAATGAATGTCCAGAACACTCTTCTCAGCTATAGCTAGCAGATTTGGACAGTATGTATACTTTTAGTTTTTTCAGAGTTAACCCTGAAAATTTTTATTTCATTCCTTATTAAAATTATTTCTGAAACTCTGTTGTGGGTAAGATTTACTGAACATAATTTCAGTCTGAATTTCTTTTGACCTTAAGTATATTGCAAGGCTTCAAGCTCAAAATTATAAACTAACTGACATAATATATAAAATGTTGGACCAAAACATCTATTAACAGACATTCTTATAGCTTTTCTTGTTTGTTTTATAAATTAAGTCCTTGATGCAGGTCATGAACCTGACATTTTTGTTCCTTTTAAAGGTGCAGAAAATAGTTAATGGCAAATTATAGTTAATTGTGATTTCACCCAACATTTTGTCAATTTTGTTTCTACTTGTAAGCCAAGAAAGGATGGTCATAAGGTGACCTGATTTGCTCTTATTTTTCATGTAGTTGCTGTGGTTTTACTCTTCAGAGATGAATAAAATCTTTTTCTTAAAATGGTCATTAAGTGCTCATTAGTTGATGTACTAAAATGCAGTGGGGAGCTCAAAAGATAACTCTCAGTGCTGGCAGGGGCATGGTTAGCTTTGCACTGATCTTTTGGGGCTGTCCTCAACAGGTTTGGGAGCTTTTATGGTCCAGGCAGAGCTATCAAGGACAAAGCTGGCTGATGAAATTTGAGCAGCACAGGGCCGCTCTAAAGAACATTAGTCACTGGTGAATGAGCAGGTTTAAGAGAGGCCTGGAGAAAATGCTGCCTCTCTTGAGAGTTGCATCATAGAGAAATTCATGTCTCTTAGTCATAGTTTATAATAGCAAGCACCTGAGCCAGGCAAGGTTTCAATTTCTCATTTTGCACCAACAAATTCTTCCCAGCTTTGTTTTATCTGGGGGGGGGGGGGGGGGGGGGGGGGGCGGGGGGTCTGTGTATGTGCATGTGTATAAAAATGCTACTGGGAGAGAGGGTATCTTTGGGTCTGAGTAAAAGATGAGTGTTCTAAATCTATTAAATAGAAGAACAGAGGTAACAGCTAAACATTCTTTAATGATAGGCCGTTATCAGCACTATGCTCTAACCAACTGAGCTAACCAGCCAACCTAGATTTCAGCATATATATATATATAAAACAGTTATTTTATTTTTTGGTTTTTTAACTGGAAATACCTTTTTTATTGAAATATAATTGATTATACATATTTGTGGGGTAGAGTTGACTATCAGTATTTGTGTTCAATATGTGATGATCAGATCAGGATTATTAGCATGTTCATCACCACAAAACATAATTATTTTTTGTGTCCCCACAGCCAGGCAGCACATTCTTCTCTATGAATATTTTTCACAGCCTTGTGTTGAGGACTAGCTTCCATTCCAGTCATTTTTTGTAAGAGCCCATGGTTATTCCAGGGGAGGGAAAGAAACTCATTCAGATTTAATGAAACCTTATGAGTTGGTTTGAATCACCCAATCAATGACCTGTGTACCAAATTTACATTTGCCTGGGAAAGCAAGCCTTTTTTCTACAGTATCAGAAACATTTGTAACAAATGTTCTTACCAGTGGCCATTGCTAATATTCAGACTTCCCTGTTAACAATGATTTCATTAATTTTGTATGTGCCCGAGAGGGAGAGGAGAGAGGGAGAGAAGGGGATAGAGAGGAGGGAGAGGGAGAGAGAATGAAAGAGAAATACTAAGTAACATGGATAATCGTTTTTATTTCAGAATATCAGTTTTAAAGATTATGGCTTTTTTTTGTAAACACTATAAACTCAACTTCTAAAGAGATTATATTTTGTAATTTTTCCAGATAATGGGTTTTGCCCATAGTTATCCATCTACCTATAAGTGAGATTTTAATAAATGAAACCATTGTTCTTATAAGTCATATAGAAATGCTCAGCTTACCTCTAGCTGTACAGTTTCACCTCTACCTCACAATTATAGACATTAGTAAAGCATTCCCCACCTGGCAACTCTTAAAGGTTAAATCAAGGGAATAGAAAGTACAACACAGGTGTTCCGCCAGTGTCTCCAGTTGTCCCTTGGCCCTGAGAAGTAACTGTGAAGATCCCAGATTGCTTGAGCTTGAAGACCCTTGTAGAGACAGTTTTGCCCGACCCCCTCGTTTTACAGAGGCAATAATGTAAGGCCCAGATAGCTGGAGAGACCAGTGGTTTGGGGGCAAATTAGGTGAAAAGAGAAAAAAAATTCATAAAATAACATCCTTGAAGCTCTTACAAAGCTGCAGAGCCAGGGGTTACCAGCATGTTCAGATGTATTCAAGGCTATCTGTCATTATTTTGGGTACATAGAGGTGGGTCTCAGAAAGCCTTAGGGAGACTGCCTGCTGTCCAGTCCAACACCTCAGTTTTCTTCCTTCTGTGATCCTGAGGAATTTATTAAATATCTTAGTGCTTTGAGTTTTTCCATCTAGGATTTGGAAGAGAGAGAAAAATTATGAAAACTGACATGTTTTCCAGAAGACATATTAGTGTGTGTGCAGATAAAACTCTGTACATATATCCTATATATTTATAAGTGTGTGTATATGTATATCTATATAAATGTGTATGTAATTAAATATGTACATTAACACAGAGCTACCAAGCCAAGTAATCTGGGTCAGTACATAGTTGTGTACACATCTTTACTATACGTTTTCACAGAATTAACTACAAATCAAAGCCATAGATAAGATTGGAGCTTGGAATGTTTCAGTATGGGGCAGGGTAGGATGTCCCATTCATTTTTCTGAACTGACTGCTTGGGTTCTTAAGGGTGTATTACTAGATTTGTTTGTTTCTTTGTTTTCTGGCAGCTGGCTGTACAGGGATCGAACCCTGGACCTTGGTGTTATCAGCACTATGCTCTAACCAACTGAGCTAACCAGCCAACCTAGATTTCAGCATATATATATATATATAAAACAGTTATTTTATTTTTTGGTTTTTTAACTGGAAATACCTTTTTTATTGAAATATAATTGATTATACATATTTGTGGGGTAGAGTTGACTATCAGTATTTGTGTTCAATATGTGATGATCAGATCAGGATTATTAGCATGTTCATCACCACAAAACATAATTATTTTTTGTGTCCATTACCCAATTTCTCCCTAACTCCCAGCCAACCTAGATTTTAGCATATATATATATATATATATATATATATATATATATATATATATTAAAAAACACGGTTTTTTAAATGTAGATTTCAAAAAATAAAATAAAATGCAGATTTTAATTATGATTTTTTTTATCTCATTTGTTTCAGTTGTGATATTGTGAATATTTACTCTCACAACTTCAATAACTAAACTATTTTATGTTAAGGAGAGAGCATGATAAAATCTTATTTCAAATTTATGACTCCATACCAAACGTAACTTAGAGAATTGTTTTAAAATCCAAGTGACCGTATTTTCCTCCTGAAGTGTTCTTTTTAGATCTATGTTTCAAAAAGAATGGAACTGACTGGGAGAAGTACGGGTAATTTCCTAAGGACCAGCTAATTAACTGATAAGATTGACTTTTCATAAATACATCGCAATAGCTGGCTGGGGAAATAGGATTAACTGTTATGACAGCCCTTGAGCCTAAAAAACATTGTTCTTACTCCTGTTTCACCATGAGATATTGACTTTTCATAAATACATCGCAATAGCTGGCTGGGGAAATAGGATTAACTGTTATGACAACCCTTGAGCCTAAAAAACATTGTTCTTACTCCTGTTTCACCATGAGATTATTCAGCTACATTTTTTTAAAAAAACAGTGTGAGGTTGATATAGTACAGGCAGTGCCTTTCTTTTGGAGAGGGCACATCATTTTGGTCCCAGATGTGGTATATAGCAAAACTCCACATGTACTTGCTCTGTGGTCTTGGGCCATTTCTATTTAAAAAGATCAACCTACAGTCTTTTTGTTTTGGAAGGTAAGAAAGAAAATAGTAGATACTTTAAAAATAAGACGCTTGAGGGAGTCAAGGCTATCAGTTTATACTTTTCAGGAGCTAGTAGTTCTGAAGGTAGGGAGAAAGAAGAAAGAATACTGAAGAAAGCATGAGGAGAATATGCAAGGAGATTATTTGACTCAAGGTTTTACAGTGTTACTTTCAGACTACCTTAGCTGAGAGGGTGCTAAATGATTTTTGAAATCCTTCCTGTTTTGATAGCCTCTAAGATTCTTAGACCGAGGACTCTTAAGGGCCCCACTCCCAGAGTACCCATTTATCTAAAAGAGCCATATGTTTAATAAAATCTGTTTTCATCTAACTTTAATTCAGTTAGGCTTATTTAAGACAATCTCTCACTCTTCTGTGTCTCTTTGCTCTTAGTCCACTAATAAAACTCTATAGCCTTGCCAGTTCTTTGTATTTGGTGAGAAAGACTTGGGATGGGGAATTACATCTGAGTCTGCCAGGCAGATCACTTGTGTAGGTGCCAGAAGTAACAAAATCCTGGCATCATACAAGAAAGTACTATTTGTCCCCTGCTCTTCAGTATTCTTCAGTTTTACAAGATTAAGACATGGGTAGCATAGTTAAGCTGAAGATTTGTAATATGCCATTTTTCTACTGTCTAGTAGTATCATTGTTTTAATTTCAGTCCCAGAAAAATTGTTACTGGTGGTGGAGTGCGGAGGGGTGTGTGATTCTCTACAGAGACTGTTTGCTCCACAAGTTTCTTGGGTCTTAATGGTGGTAAAGTACAGCCAGCCTCAGAGGCTGACAGCCCCTCTTGGGCATACAGCTGCCCTTGAGGCAGCTTGGGCCCATCTGTGCCCTGGCACACAGTGCTTCTCCACTTGGAATCCAAGGAGCTCAGAATCTTGTCAAGTGCAGCTCCCTCTTGAACAGATGCCAGGCATGCTGATGCCATTACCGGATTAGGTTGCTTTTTTAAAAA